TTGTAAGGCAAAATTTGGATAACAATGATTTGGCAGGGCTCCACGTTTAGACTGGCTGTCGATCAATGCTTCGTATGCAGGATCGGTCGCTGGCTGGTGAATGGAATCGATCGATGACTAGGATAAAGTGCCGATCGATCCGGAATAGTCAGTTTCGTACTCAGCTTCACATTCGCAAGCTGCAATCAATCTAGCCTTTCCAGTCTCCAATGAATGTACATGTTTTTTTTTTTTTTGAATGAATCAATGAATGTACATGTTGCTTAAAAACACGAACTGGGTCATAAAAAAACATATGGATCAATCAAAGTAAGACAAACTTGTTGGTGTTCACGTCACAAACTGCTCCAACGGTGGCCATAAAAGCTCTTCCCAGGAGGAGTGAGGAATTCCAGTTTAACTTGATATCCAAGACATTAAAATCCACAGACACTAGTGCATTACCAATCTGCACCTCCAGGTCCCTGATTATACCTCCTAGATTCATCTCAGAACAGTCTACAAAAGTGAAGGATTCCTTTGAAGGTTCTACCTTCAAACCCAAACTCTATGCCATGACTTTAGGTAAGATGCTGACTGATGATCCTATGTCACATAGGGCATGTAGAAACTCAATACCATTAATAGAACATGGTATGGCGAACTTCCCAGGATCACTCTTCTTCTTGAATGTAGTTCTCTGTCTCATCTTTTCCCAAACATGGTGAAACATTCTCTGAATGTCTTCTTCAGTTTTCCTAGTCTCTTTGAAGAACATCCACAGTCTGTGGGTATAATAAACCTCATCAAAAGATTTCTCTAGTGGGATTCTGAGAACTCTCTTAGAGAAACCATCTATCTCCTTATCAGTTGGTTCTCTCTTGAGATGCTTAGGAACCTTTTCTTTCCTTCTCCTCAGAGTCTTCTCAGTAGTGGTTCTATCAATGTTCATAGGTTCTAGTGTAGGGTTGGGTGGGTTGATCGATGTCTGCATCGGCACTCGACGTGTGAAAGTGTCAGATCGATGGATTGGAGTGGGATCGTATTGAGCGTTGACAAGCTATGTGTGTCGATCGACAGTGAAATAGGGAGGGATGGGTGGATTTGGGTATTTCTCTGCAAACTCCGCGTGGGTCATGATCCGGATGGCATTGCATGTTTCACACGATTCAGTTGGCGTCGATCGATCGTAATGGTAAGCTGTCGATCAATATCTCTCAAACTCGGTCCATCGATCGATTCAAGAATGAAACTTTGAGATCGCGATAAACTTCCTCCTTAGGCTCGTCCTCTCCCATCTTTATATGAAGAATTTCTTGCCATAAATCATCATCCAATATGGCATTGACGTGGTGTCTCATAGGTTCATCCTCTTCTTGCCTCCTGACAGCCTCTTCAGTCTGAACAACCTGAGTCTCAAGCTTCCTGACCTGAATGCTCAAAGCTCCAATTTTAGTGTCCAAATCCTTGTAGACAGTATTTATCTTCCCACTGAACTCCACTGTCAGCCTCTGCTGTCCTTGAAGAACCTGATCAAGCATAGCTTAGATCTGGCTCTCCTGAGTATGTGGTGGTGGGTTCTGGTAAAAAGAATTTCCATACCCCTTGTTGTTGCTGTAGTTGCTGTAGGGTTTCTGAAGCTGTGGATTCTGGTTGAAGTTTTTGTTTCCATACTGGTTCCCAGACCTCTGAAATCCAGTTCCTCTAATGTAGTTCACATCTGCTAAATCTGAATCCTCATCATCTACACCTTCTGCTGAGCAAACCTGCCTCATAAGTAGCTGATTGACAGTCTTCATGTGATCTTTTACTTCATCTAGTTGTTCTTTCCTAAGGAAGGCTATAGTTTTCCTCCTTTCAGAATCAGTGCTCTTGATACTGCTACTGTTTGCTAAGTTCTCAATAAGCCTCACAGCTTCCTCCAGATTCCTAGTGTTGAAGCTTCCATTTCTGGTTGTATCCAGAGCACTCTGATACTTCAAAGTGATTCCTCTAAAGAAAGTACTTAGCAGCTGTACTTCATTAAACCCATGGTGTGGACAATCACGCTGGAAGAACTTAAATCTCTGCCAAGAATCCTTAGAAGACTCTCCAGGCTTCTGTGTGAAAGTAGCAATTCTGCTTCTTAGTTCTTCTGCTCGTCCCTATTCAAAGAAATTGCGCGGAACGCATTCTTGATGTCAGCCCAGGATGTAAGAGATCATGGTGGTAACTGCTTGAGCCAATGTGCAGCCTCTCCAGCAAGTGAGAACTTGAAGAGCTTACACAATAAGTAGTCCTCAGAGACTCCTTAACTCGGATAGCAGCAATGAGATCCTCGAACCTCTCAAGATGGTCCATAGGATGCTCATGTGGCGTCCCATAGTAGGGTACATGTGCCACAAGCTTGTAGTACTGGGGTTTCAACTCGAAGTTTTCCCTCTGAACGTCTGGGAGACGAAGAGCTGACCTATTGGCGTAGTACTGATCTGGACGGTTGTAGTCTGCCAAGATCTTAGGTCGAGTATCTTCCTCAGTATCAGGTTCAGGGATAATGTTACCCTGAGTATCCAGTTTCTGACTTATTGCATTACGCAGATGACCCTCCTGGTCATACATGTTTCCATTAGCGTGCGTGGTTAGAATCAAAGGCGCAACCATGTCTCGCGGCTGAAAATCGAACGTTGATCGGTGTCGGTCGATGTCGAGTGATCAGAATCGGTCCACGAAGAGTGGTCTGTGTTGATCGTTGATGAAGCGAGATCAGTTGAGGTTTGACGAGAATCGGTTGACGAAAGTAAGGTAGCATCGATCGATGCGGAACGTTGGTCTTTGCGGATCGAGCGTTCCAAACTAGCAGGATCTTCTGAGAATAAGAGCTGTTTTTCCTTGTTGCTTCTGGTTATGCTATGCATGCACCAGAAAAGAAATCAAGAAAAAAATTTGTCAGAAGATGATAGAGAAAAAAAAAAAAAGACAAACCTAAGATTGAAAAACTAAATCTAAAGGTTATCAAATTACCTTAAGGAATGAATTACTTTCTCAAATAAGAGGTTCAGCTATAGTTAGGGATCGAATCCACAAGGAGCTAGGGAACCTAATAAATCTAGTTAAATATAACTCTAGGTCATTGTATAAATAGTAAAAACAATAAATGAGCAAAAATAAAATATTCCAATTAAGCACGACAATTACTTAATCAAGAATGGAAATTAAGACTTTTAAAACTAAAATGGAAAAGATGCTAGACTTAGGGCTTTTATTCAGGTTTTTAGGATTATAATTATATAGGATGTTATCCAGTTGCTTGCGACATACTATAGAGAATTAACTATTGTGTTTAACAAATTATCTAAACTAACGTTCAAATAAATAACTGGATTGTCGCACTAGACAGTGTCGATCGATTATTCGATAGAAAAATCGACCGATACACTAAACTCATCATCGAGCAGTTTCTGTTAGGAAGATCGATCGATGAGTCCGGTCAAGCAATGCACACGAGTTAACCTAAACTCACTAAAGATTTATAAATCAAATCGTATCAATTCTATTTCTAATAAATCTTAGCTTAATAAGGATGTGTTCAGGATATTCAGAATCACTTAAATGTCTCTAATCCAACCTAAATAATCCATGATTCAATGTTTCTAGTTAGCTACTCTAGAACTATGATCAATTAAAACATCCTATTAATGAGTATCACAACTAGCAATCCTATAGTTGGGGCTAATCCATCTAACCTATTTATCCCTATATCTAACAAGTAAACTACTCAGACATAGCTAAGCAATTCATAACACAAGTAGATAAATAAAACTGCATATTATAAATAAATAGATAGGTAGAAAACACTGGAATTCCAATCTCAAATATCTCTGAATATCTTCTCTCCAAACTATAAACCCTAAAACTTTGATGTGTAAAGAATACAATAAAACTCTCTCTCCTGCCTCTAACACTTTGGCTGAGTATATAAACTTATGTTAAAGTCAACTTGGCTCTCGAATTGGCTTCTGGGTCTTGATAATCGATCGATTATGCATGATGCATGTCGATCGATCCGGGTCTCTCTTTGTCGACCTCGTGATCGAGTCTGAATAGAGCGCTTCTTCCAATTCTCTCCAAAAACATCACTTTCTTCCAAAATACTTCTGAACTCATAAATATGCTTAAAAACTTCTATAGTATAGTAAAAATAGTAAAACGCTAATATACCATGACTAAAAACATGTCAAAATCATGGTATATCATGTAGATAGCTTGGACATTTCAAAAAGAATTGTCGAGTCAAATTGAAGGAAACAAATATGGTGGAATCAAAAACTCATATTGAAGACGAAGAATGGGGGAAATATTTCACGGTGGAGACTACACATTCAGGTACACCCACAACTAAAAACTTAATAAATGATTGAATTGTGGACTCGGATTGTAGCCATCATATTACCAGAGATGAAAAGTTATTTTCTAGTCTTCAAAATCATGACGGAAAAGAAGCCATTATTACTGTCGACAATTCAATCCATCGAGCTAAGAAGGAAGGGACTGTTGTCATCAAAGGAGATGATGAAGAACCGATCACACTCAAGAATGTGTACCATGTCCATGGAGTAAAGAAGAATCTTTTTTCAGTGGTGAATGCGGTTGACTCAGGTAACTATGTTCTATTTGGCCCAAGAGACGTTAAGTTCTTAAGGAATATTAAAGATTAAAGGCGGATGTTGTTCACACTGAAGCATGCGTCAAAGATTTGTACGTTTTATCGGCCTCACACGCCTATGTGGAGGAAGATGAGTAGAAATTACAATGCTTACATCTGGCATGCAAGACTTGGCCATATAAATATGACCAAGCTTAAGGTTATGGTGAATAAACCACTCTTAGTACCACTTTTCATTTATATTAGAAGGACAAATGACTAAATTTTTTTTTTTAAAAAAAAGGAAAGCGTGCAATGGCTACTACGTTTGTGATGGTTTCACGACGACTGGGATCGACGACGACATCATCTCAGCCTCCCGCAACAAATCCATCATCGCATGGAGCCTCACCAAGGACGACAATTCCTACGGCGTCTCCAAGAGACACCTCACCGGCACTCCCACTTCATCGAGGACGTCGTCCTCTCCGGAAGCTGGGACGGCGAGCTCTTCCTCTGGGTCCTCGCCGCCGGAGTCTCCACTCGCCGATTCGTTGGACACACCAAAGACGTCCTCTCCGTCGCTTTCTCCCTCAAAATTGGTGATTGTGACATCAAAATTTGTTATATAGTTGTGTATGTGGATATGCTTTTTGATTATCTATGATATCAAATTGCATTTACCTTTTTGATCATTTGTCCAACAAGAATTCAAAAGTTAAGTGTCATTTAACTTGACTGGTGGAATGATTTGTGAACTATCAGAAATTGAATTTTGATACTCTTAATCACAGAAAAAGGTGGTGACTGCATTGTATTCCAAGGCTTCCAAAAATTTACAGGCCGGCAAACAGAATGATCTCACTGGTCTACATGAAGTAGGATGTGGGCACACGGAAGAGACGGACAAAGCGTTACAATTACACCAACGAAATTCAGCAATAGCGAGAGATTTTTACCTTAAGTAAGGTCTTTTTTTTTGTCATATTTAGAAAGTGTTCTTGTAAGAGTATAGCTGATCAGATAGCGAGTCGAGCAGTGTGTTCTCTTCCTATAGCAATTTTGTTCTCTTCCTATAGCAATTTCGTATTTACAACTCATGTCTTTACTTATACTGAACTTCTTTGTAATACTACTGAAATGACCAAAAAAAAAAGTTGACAAAAAAATATTATGAGACTTTTGTCCGAACCTGTGATTTTGGGGGTCTTAGATGATTTTAAAAAAAAATTCAGCTAAATTTTTTTTTCTAACTAATTTAGAGACCTAAAAAAAATTTTTGGGGTCTATATATATATACTTCTTTTCAAAATTTTCGGGGGCCTAAACTGAATGTTCAACAGACTTGCCTAACACCGGCCCTGCTTTTGTGCTGGTGATCCCGTGTTCTATTCGATCACGAGGTTTAATTAAACCAAATAATCCATAATTTTTAATGATTAAGCTAACAAGCCGTTATTGCATCATAAAGCCTTTTTAACTAAAATTTTGCAATGTAATAAAAGTTCTTAAAACACATATAAATGTTATATTAACCCTAGCTTTACAAAACGTCCCCTACTTTTTGCAACAACAGCCGCTATGAACAATCAGAGATAGATGAGCAGAATTTGAATTCATCTCTGTCGTTTCTTTCTCTTCCAGAAGACATAGTTCTGAACTGCATAGCCCGGATATCATCATCGTACTACCCTAAACTCACTCTAGTCAGCAAGACCTTTGGCTCTCTCGTCTCATCCTACAAGCTCTACACGACTAGGCTTCTTCAAAAAACAAACGAACACATCCTTCTTGTCTATTTACAGGATTCCAGTTACAGCACTCCTCTTTCCTGGTTCAGTCTCTGGTTAAAACCTAACCAAACCCTAACCAATGATTTGGAGAAGAAACAAAAGTCTACTGGGAATGCTTTGTTGGTACCAATACCCTCATCTTATTGTCAGCGTCTACCAACGTTCATGTGCATGGTTGGCTCAGAATCGTACGTAATCAATCAATACGGTTATCCAGGTTCCAGTTTGTCCGTCTCTAAATCAGGGATTTGCGACTGGCGTGTACTCCCAAGCATGACATTGGCTCGAGGGGAAGATGCCATTGCCGGAGTCCTCGATGGGAAAATATATGTAACGACCGACTTTTGGTTTCGGATTTTGTTAGCATGCTAAGCCTCAAGTCCGCAGGCCCATTCGAATCTGAAGGCCCAATATTATGAAATAAAGACCCATTGTTTCTTCAGCATTGTTTTCTCCACCTCCAAGAAAATAAAATGAGAGAGAGAGAGATTTAGAGAGAAGCCGCCTTAACCCCTGGTCGGAGCCACCACACGCCAGAGTCATGTTGAGCACACCACCACCATTCGTAACCACCAGAAGCCGCCGTGAACCGCCATGGCTTTAATTTAGTTTTGAGTCATTTAGTAAATCGTCGATAACTTCTGAATCGTTGAGAATCTCGTGCATGCAAGGCCACCACCGTGTTCTACTCGTCGAGACGAAGCCGTAGACAACAAAAACGCTGCGATCCGACCTCAGACGAAGCCGCACGCGCCCGTAGAAGTTTCGCCGTCGGAGCGCGTGAAGAGCACGCGCCGCCGGAGAGCCATCGCCGGACCGCCGTGTCTCCGCCGCTGAACTGCCGTGTCTCCGCCGCCGGACCACCGCAGCTCCGCCGCTGCTCCGCCGTCGCCGCCGGTGACCGTCACCGGTGACTCGGCCGAGTCAACTCAGTGAGTCAACTCGACCGAGTCAACTCAGTGAGTCAACTCGGTTGACTCGGTCAACCGGTTGGTTTGATTGGTTTAGTCGGTTTAATTCAATTGCGATTTGGTTACGGTAAACCTGTGATTTAAATCAATTGAATTTGGGTTAGGAGTAAACCGGGTTGTAATTGATTGAATCTGGTCCAATTGAAATCGAATCCGGTTAAGAATAACCGGTTGGTCCAATTCGATTTCAATTTGGTCAAGGGTTGACCGGCTTGGGTCAGGGTTGACCGGGTTGACATTTGACCAGCGGGTTGACTTTTCCGTAGACGCCCGTTTTCGTCCGTTCGAAGGCCATTCTGACTCGGAATTTCGATCTGATTTCAGTTTTGGGATCTATTTGAGGAGCTGGAATTCATAGATACCACTTTTCCCCATTTCTAAGGTGAGGGCCTATTCCCGAACTTCTTTTACTTGGCGTAGGACCTCGAATATGCATACTTTAGTCCTAATATGTTCCGTCTCTGTGAAATCGAGTCTGTCAAATGTATTTTTGGAGTCTGTTTGATAGTTATTTAGGTTCTATGCTTAAACCGGAACAGGGAGTCAGATGATTCAACCTTTCTTGCGTAATTTAAATTGATGTAAATATGTATAAGAAATACTATATATATTATTGTTTTCGAGAGGCAGACTTGGAGTCTGGCCTGTTACTAGCGGGGCAGAGGGTTGTACCTGCTTGCTAGAGACTTTGGGATGCGACGGCTTAAAATCGATCCACGTCGCATGCCCCGAGATCGATAAAGCGTCCCCGGGCGGTGTGTATGGGCACTGATCCCATACGTGAAGCCTCAGTAGAGGGAGATTCCTACTGGGGGTGAGACCGCACTATCTCGGCGTTGGTCCGTTAGCGAGCAGCGACTATATATATATTTATACGCTGGGACCGTGATTGTTTTTTGGGCGCTTTAGGTGCCATGTTTGTTACGTGTTAGAGTTAAATTATGTATATTCGGGGTGTTATGACCGGGTCTACGGACTTCGGGATAGCATCCCATACCTCACTGAGTGACTTCCCAGTCGCTCACCCCTCTTTCTTCCCCATTTCAGGTGAGACAAGCTTTAGAGTGATATTTGGACGACTTGGTGCTATTGGACTTTTTATTCGGATTTTTATTTGGGCTTGGGCGAGCGTAGTTGGGCTTATGGGCTTTTATGTTCGAGATATTATTGGTGGCCCGTCGTCCCTAGAGAGAGGGAGACGGGTGCCACATTGTTATTGGATGACACGCTGTACTCCAGATAGGAGGTGACGGGTGTTACAATTTTTGGTATCAGAGCGGGTTCCATCCCGGTTCTGTCCCGGGGTGGCGGTCATGGGATTCGGTTTTCAATGTTTTCAATAAAAAATAAAATAATAATAATAATAATATATATAATAAATTTTTTTTTTTTAAAGTATTTTTAAAATTCTTTTATCACCATTCTGTCCAGTGACCACTCATTCAATTGTCTCTTTTTATGACGATGAGTAAAGTCATCGTCATTCGTCTTTCTGCTAGCAGAGGTCTACCAGATGTTCAGCAGAGATGTGATGCCGTAGTTTTGTTAGAGTTCGCCGAGGTTTATTGGTTTCTTCATTCTTTCTCCTATGTTGTTCAGGAGTGGATATGTGACGTTTTTGCCATCACCTAATTTCAAGCCGTCGCTCCACGAGTTCTGATGTATATGTTTTTGTGATGTGAGTTTTGAGCCATGGATTGGCGTGTGATGTTTTTTATGTATGAGTATATTGACTATTTTGGAGATATGCTTTGTTGTAAACTCGTGGAGATCGCTTTTAGAACTAGGGTGTAGCATCTAGCGTTGTGGATTATATTGGAGTTACATTTGGCATGTTTGCCGGTTTTTGGTTTTGTTGACCGCTTCAGAGACGTGTCAGCTGGGTAAGCTGGCATAAGATGTTGAGAGCTATTCATGTTCATCGAGTTTTACTAGTTATGTTTGGAGGTCGCGTTATTCAGAGATTCGCCAGAGATGGAGCTGAGTTTTTCGGTGCCAGTTTTGAGATAGAATTATTGTCCTGATATCAAGAAGTATAGAGTTGCTGAGGACAATGGTTTATACCCCTGGAAGAGATGAGAGTTTTATTGCTTCCACACTACATGTTGAGGAGTTATTGGATACAAGAGCAAATCGATTTTTGAAGACCGTGTGATGATTAAGGATGATGGACAACATGAGATGCATGAGCTGCTAGTTATTACAACATATAAGAATTTATTTGAAACCTATAGAAGGGTCACCATCGGATAGAAGACACGTTCATATGATTGAGTTCGAACAAGAGGTAGCACCAGATTCATGAGTTCCATACCGATTGGTGCAAGAAGGGATGGTTAAACTGATGAGACAGTAAGAGATTTAGCAGACAAAGATTTTATTAGACCGGATTTTTCGCCATGGAGACCAGCAATGTTACTGCGACGAAGGAAGATGATATTCTCAGACTTGGTGTAGGCTACAGAGGTTTAAACAAGGTGACATCAAGAATAAGTGTCCGCTTCCGTGTATTGATGACTTGTTGGAGTAGCTGCAAGGATTTTTATGGTTTTCGAAGGTTGATTTTGCATCGGGTTATCACCAGATCCCCATAGCAGAGGAGGATGTGTGGAAGACAACCTCCCGTACACGTTATGGGTATTATGAGTTGTAGTCAGAATATTTGTATTGACGAACGCACCTGCAGTGTTCATGAAACTTATAATCGTTGTGTTCTATGAGTATTTGGTTACGCGTGTGATCGTTGTCATCGAGGATATCCTAGTTTATTCTTGGAGCAGAGAAGAGCATGCAGAGCATTTGTGGATTGTATTGGGTAAGCTGAGAGAGCATCATATATTTACTAAGTTGAATGAGTGTTGCTTTTGGCAAAAGGAGATTAGATTTTTGGGTCACGAGGTTTCAGAGGCAAGAGTTGTTATTGATCCGGAAAAGATTATTGCAGTCCCAGAGTGGTTATCACCTAAGAGTGTTGCTGTGTAGATCAGTAGATTTAGCGGGATACTACAGAAGGTTCATCATTTTTGAAGATTGACTTGGATTCAGAGTACCATCAGATTGTTATAAGCTGGGAGATATGTACAGACTACAGTTCACATATAAGACGGATAATCCGAGTTGTAAATAATATTAATGGGTTGAAGAATTCACGGATAGCATTCATGGAGCTTAGATATAAATTCTTTTGCGAACACTTGGATAAGTGCGTGGTTGTATTCATCGGCAAGCCTGAGTATTGTTGGAGTAGAGAGAAGTAAGATGAGCATAGGCGGGTTTTGTATTTAATATAAGAAAGTCAGATCATTGCATAAGCAACAAAGAGTTTGTAGATTACGAATATGGAGCATTTTGGAATAGAAGTCAGAGAATTTTTGGAGTGATCACCAAAGTTGCCCTTTACATTGACTATGGAATATCTACGTGGAGGTGCATTAGCATGGTGGGAGAAACTACGAATAAGCCATTGGACCTAACATACTTACCTTGAGGATTTGTTAGAGGTGTCAATCGGAAGGAAATCTGATCAGAAAGTTTTTGGATAGAATGCGAGTTGAGATTCACAGCAGGCGTTGTGTCGTCGCTTACTTCAGGTTAAGAGTTTCAGTGGAGAAAGCTACCGACCAGAGAATGAGTCTGAGTTATTGAGTTGCCCCCGTTACAATCACTGTCATGAAGAGAATTTTATTAAGAATTATGTTGTGGTCAGTTGGAGCATATTTTGAGGTCAAATATTCAGTGCGCGATTTGGAGTTAGCAGCAGTTGCATCGGCTTTAGAGCTTTGAGGATCATCATTGTATAGCAAGGAAGTTCAGATTCATGGGGATCATTAGAGTCTGGAATGTATGTTCACACATTAGAGCTAGTACGTGAAATCGCGCAAATGGATTAAGTTGGTAGTCGTTTACAGTTTGAATATCGCATGCCATTTGGTAAGGTCAACCTAGTGGTAAATTCCTTAAATAGGTACATGAGAGATGTGTCAGGAACCACAGAGGATTAAGAGTTACTGGAATTCTTGTAAGCCTTGTATTGGATCGAGGTGTTAATTCAAGTCTACATATGGAAAATTTCTCAGAAGGCGCTTGGAGCAAAGATCTATGTGAATATTATTTATCATCCAGAGATTGAGGATCAGTTAAAGAGGACTGTTCAGATTTTTGAGGACATGTTCAGAATTGTGTCTTATAGTGGAAAGAAAGTTATGGAAGCGTCTACCTCTAGCAGAGTTTGCCTGCAGTGACAGTTATAAATAAGATATTGAGATTGTACCATTTGAATCTTTTTGTGATACAGCTTATGGTACACTATGTTGTTGAACCAAAGTGGGGGAGCAGCATGTGATAAAACTATTAATGGTTCCAGAGACGGTAGAGCAAGTGGACGTGCTTAAAGTTGGTTTTGGGAAGGCCATGATCGTCAATGAAGTTATGCACTTAAGCGCTGTAAAGGACTTGGAGTTCAGATAGGAGATCGAGTAAACCTGAAAATAAGGACATTTCAGGGAGGAAATAACATTCGAAAGTTAAAGAAGTGTAAATCAAAATAGTGGGAACAAATTATATTGTGGAGCAAGTTGGAGTAGTTGCTTACGGATGGAATTTATCAATAGAGTTACCAGATTTTTCAGGTTTTTATTTTAAAGATAGTCTTGACAGAGCCAGAGTTATGTTGCAGCAATCACTAGATGACTTCAGCGAGATTGGATACATCTTTTCAGCCAGCATGGATTGTGGATCGTCAGATAAAAGCATTTCAGGGAATGTCGCCAGTGTCTGTCAGAGTTGTTGAGAGAGATAGGGTTCAGAAGAAGATCTCTGAGACCAAGCAGATTGATTATTTGGAGTTTTGTTACAATGAATTTGAGCAGTCACGGATGACTCGAATTCGAGGACGAATTCCTTGTTAGTAGGGGAGAATTGTAACGACCCGACTTTTGGTTTCGGATTTTGTTAGCATGCTAAGCCTCAAGTCCGCAGGCCCATTCGAATTTGAAGGCCCAAAATTATGAAATAAAGACCCATTGTTTCTTCAGCATTGTTTTCTCCACCTCCAAAAAAATAAAATGAGAGAGAGAGAGTTAGAGAGAAACCGCCTGAAGCCCTGGTCGGAGCCACCACACGCCAGAGTCATGTTGAGCACACCACCACCGTTCGTAACCACCAGAAGCCGCCGTGAACCGCCATGGCTTTAAGTTAGTTTTGAGTCGTTTAGTAAATCGTCGATAACTTCTGAACCGTTGAGAATCTCGTGCATGCAAGGCCACCACCGTGTTCTACTCGTCGAGACGAAGCCGTAGACAAAAAAAACGCCGCGATCCGACCTCAGACGAAGACGCACGCGCCCGTATAAGTTTCGCCGTCGGAGTGCGTGAAGAGCACGCGCCGCCGGACCGCCGTGTCTCCGCCGCCGGACCACCGCAGCTCCGCAACCGGACCGCCGCCGCTCCGCGGTCGCCGCCGGTGACCGTCACCGGTGACTCGGTCAACTCGGCCGAGTCAACTCAGTGAGTCAACTCGGTTGACTCGGTCAACCGGTTGGTTTGATTGGTTTGGTCGGCTTAATTCAATTGCGATTTGGTTACGGTAAACCGGTGGTTTAAATCAATTGAATTTGGGTTAGGAGTAAATCGGGTTGTAATTGATTGAATCTGGTCCAATTGAAATCGAATCCGGTTAAGGAAACCTGGTTGGTCCAATTCGATTTCAATTTGGTCAAGGGTTGACCAGCTTGGGTAAGGGTTGACCGGGTTGACCTTTGACCAGCGGATTGACTTTTCCGTAGACGCCCGTTTTCGTCCGTTCGAAGGCCATTCTGACTCGGAATTTCAATCTGATTTCAGTTTTGGGATCTATTTGAGGAGCTGGAATTCATAGATACCACTTTTCCCCATTTCTAAGGTGAGGGCCTATTCCCGAACTTCTTTTACTTGGCGTAGGACCTCGAATATGCATACTTTAGTCCTAATATGTTCCGTCTCTGTGAAATCGAGTCTGTCAAATGTATTTTTGGAGTCTGTTTGATAGTTATTTAGGTTCTATGCTTAAACCGGAACAGGGAGTCAGATGATTCAACCTTTCTTGCGTAATTTAAATTGATGTAAATATGTATAAGAAATACTATATATATTATTGTTTTCGAGAGGCAGACTTGGAGTCTGGCCTGTTACTAGCGGGGGAGAGGGTTGTACCTGCTTGCTAGAGACTTTGGGATGCGACGGCTTAAAATCGATCCACGTCGCATGCCCCGAGATCGATAAAGCGTCCCCGGGCGGTGTGTATGGGCACTGATCCCATACGTGAAGCCTCAGTAGAGGGAGATTCCTACTGGGGGTGAGACCGGGCACTATCTCGGCGTTGGTCCGTTAGCGAGCAGCGACTATATATATATTTATACGCTGGGACCGTGATTGTTTTTTGGGCGCTTTAGGTGCCATGTTTGTTACGTGTTAGAGTTAAATTATGTATATTCGGGGTGTTATGACCGGGTCTACGGACTTCGGGATAGCATCCCATACCTCACTGAGTGACTTCCCAGTCGCTCACCCCTCTTTCTTCCCCATTTCAGGTGAGACAAGCTTTAGAGTGATATTTGGACGACTTGGTGCTATTGGACTTTTTATTCGGATTTTTATTTGGGCTTGGGCGAGCGTAGTTGGGCTTATGGGCTTTTATGTTCGAGATATTATTGGTGGCCCGTCGTCCCTAGAGAGAGGGAGACGGGTGCCACATTGTTATTGGATGACGCGTTGGGGATGACACGCTGTACTCCAGATAGGAGGTGACGGGTGTTACAATATACGTTATGGGAGGTTGCAGCAAAGATGAATGCAAGAACTGGGCTGAGGTTTACGATACAAAGACTCAAACTTGGGAATCTTTACCTGACCCTGGCGTCCAGCTACGTTCTTCTACACTTAAAAAAATGGAAGTGAGGGGGGAAAAGATCTACGTTGAAAAGATCAATGGGTATGATGTTTATGATACCAAAGAAGGTAGATGGGAAGTAGTAGTTCGGTCACCCATGTTTGAGTCTAGTGTTGTGATAGAGAATGTAAGGTACTGTTACGTTAGTCCAGGTTTTATTTGCTACGAAGAGAAGCACAATGGCTGGAAAAGGGTCAATGGTTTGTCGGTACTGGAGAGGCATAGTCGAGTACGAAGTGGTATTATTGAAATGGCTAATTACGGTGGTAAATTCTTAATGATTTGGGACAAGTTTGTGCATGCTCGTCATTTCTATGAGAAAAATATTTGGTGTGCTTTGATTGCGTTTGAGAGGCGGAATGGTGATAAAGAAGTTTGGGGTAAGGTTGAGTGGGCTAATAGTGTGCTTACCGTTCCCATTTCATGTGTGTTTATTGCGTCGTGTAATACGATCACTTTGATCAATTATATATCATCATGGTTTTTCTTCAAAGTGTTTTACTAATTGGGTCTCTTTCCATGTTTATAATTACATTGTAGTCATTTTCAGCTACTATGATGGTTTTTAATGGCTAATGACAATGGCACCATCAACTACCATCAACTAAAAGCAGACTGAATGATGATTTTTTTAAGCTTTTTCTCTGCGTTGTTTTATTTTCTAACTAGGTAATAATCCGCGCCTTGCGTGGAAGTAGATTATTATTTTTGTTACTTTTGAGATAAAAAGGATATTGTATCTGTTTAGCATGTATATTGGTTCAGTTTTACATTCTTTTATTTCATATCCTAAAATATAACTATCATTCTAAATCTATATTTATTTTGGTTTGTTTGATTTAAATGTTTGATGTTTTTAATTTTTTCGATGATAACCAAAACCTATTGTTATTTTTTTTGTTTTGTTTTATATAAATTTAGATATTTTTTATGTCGAACTAATAGTTTCCTATTATAATTTCTACAGACATGTAAAATCAAATAAAATCTAAGTAATATTTGAAAAAAAAAAATTATTAACACAAAACATTTCACTATAATTTGAGCGATAGTGAAAGAAAACATTAACAAAAATTCAACTTCAATAAGAATTAAAATTCTCACTTGTGATGAATATTTAGTCATATAGTTGCTCATGTCAGTGTGTACATATGTAAAATTATATAAATATGATATAAATATATGAATATACCGTTAATTAAGATTTAACATTTATGTTCAAAATAACACATGATAGTAAGTTCTTAAATAAAATTAAGTAAAAATAAAAAAAACCTAGAAATTAATAACATTTTTTCATATGAAGAAAATCCAATTGTACCCGTAAAAAATAAAAAAAATATATATTACAAAGTGACATCTTCACTTGGTACCTGAATTATGTTTTTAATCGATTTTGTGATTTTTATTTCTTTTTAAAACTTTTTTTATTTCTAATTTTTTCTACCAATTTGATTTTGTTTCTAATTTTTGGTCTGATATGAAACCTTTATAAAAATGTTAATTCATAATCAATCACCGTATTTGTTGTTATTGTGTACCGAAGCCTCAACAATGGCCAACTTCGGCAAGGTACGAAACTTTCAATTTCTACAAACATTTTCATCACAATATTTTAGTTGATACAAATCTTAATGATTTTGTAATTTTTTTACAATAAATATATTATTCATTAGCTTCACGTAGAAAATTTTAATTTAGTAATACAAAGGCTAAAAATGTAGGAAAAATGAATTAACTAAAAATAGTGTATTAACACATTAAATAATAAATTTGAAAATTAGTGTGTGAACGCATTAATTTCCAAATGATTGTGAGGTCGACACGTATCATTTACAGTGTGAACGTATTTATTATAATGCTTCTCTTTTAATATATAATGGATGTTAGAAATTTGAATTTTAAAAATTTGAAATTCAGTACACATTTTATAAGGAACAACAGCTATCTTATTAAAAGAAGTATAAATAAGAAATAACCCTAAAACTTATACAGCTTATGATACAAATACTCAAACATGGGACTCACAGACAACTAGCCTCTGTCAATTTCAATTTCTATACTAAGGGTTTTCTTCATTTCAAATTCCTTACTCAAAAGACTCTTCAAGCTCTGAACTTGTGCTTTATCGTTTGATGTTATAAGGATGTCATCTACGCAGTGGCGAATCTACTTGTATTAAGGAGGTGGCATTTGCCCCCACAAAATCTGTAAATTCTTTGTAACTCAACCCAAAATTTAGCCATTTTTCTCTATTAAACTTCATATTTTAGCCTTATGTTTCTATTTATACATGATTGTCCCCCATGTTAAAAAAATCCTACATCCGCCCCTGCATCTACGTGCAATAGAAGTAGATGTAAACGTGTTTCCTCGCCTCTTTGAAGTGAACACAATTGATGTACTTAATCTACAATACTCGTTTCACTTCACAAATTCATCAAAGCGCTTGTATCTGAGTTACTAATTGAGACCGTAAAGAAATCTCTTGAGTAGACACATTTTATATGGATTCTTCTCATCAACAATCCTTCTCGCTGCTCTAGCCTCCTCTATCACCATGTATTCATCGATTTCACCATGGATGTGGTTTGCACAACAATGTGCGTTATCTTATTAATTATAGTTTATCATTCAATGTACATTATGTATATTTTTGTTCTAAATACTAATAACAGTTACTCAATATTAATTTTTATTTTATTAATTGGTAAAATAATAACTAATTTTTTAGGATATATCTTTTAGATAACTATAACACAAAAACATTATGACAAAATAGCACCAAAAAACCCCCAAAAATGTCATTAAGATAAAATGAGCGGTTGATTGTTTGTGGTTTTTATTTTGTATTTGGTTTTTGTTTTTTTTTGTTTTTAAACCATTTTTCGTCCAATCAAGTTTTTTTTTTGGTTTTTGTTTCTCTAAAAACCATTTTCTTGCCAATCAAATTTTTAAACAAATAGATTTCTTAAAATTTAGGGAAACTAGTTTTTAAAAATTTTAACCAATTTGTGAAGATAAACAAAAAACCAGCTTTATGGGTTTTTAGTATAAAAAAGAATTTTTTTTTTTTTGTTTAGAAAATCTACATTTTAAATAATATTTTCATCAAGAGAAAGTAGCCATACAAATTTTTGTAGATAATACATCATTTAAACCTTAATTAAAAATAATTTATTTGTGTTTTATATATATCAGTAAATTGGATTTTTATAAAGTATTAATTAATTGTAAGCACTTAGTAATCAATTTAGATAATAATAAGTTATTAATTTCTATAAATTTCATTTAATAATTTTCATAATTATTAGAGACACTTAACTATATTGAAAATTATAAAAAATTAATTATTTTATTAATAAAATATAATTTGTTTTTTTCTAAATCAGCCCTTCAGGTTTTAAAAATAAAGAAAAAATAAATAAGAAAATTTATAAATAGTTTCAAAATTATAAATATTTTATTTTTATAATTTTTAAATATTTATATTTTAGTATAGTATTTAAAAGATAAAATCATTTAAAACATGTTAATGTATTTTTATTTTAAATAACAATCATTCTGTTGTGATATATTTTAATGGTAACATATAAATATTTCATTGTTTTTATTACTATTTAAAAAAATATAATGATTATTCTTTGAAAAACAAAAAAATACAAAAAAACTAAAAACCAAATCTAAAAACTAAAAACCAACAATTAAAATCATGAACGAAAACCTAAAACCTAAAAACCAAAAACCAAAAACTAATGCAAACAATCATCACCTATATTATTTAAGAAAAATTACACTCAGAGTCAATTTTAAGTTAATTACAAGATTTTGACATGAGTTTTAAAAGCTCGAGATTATTTTTGACTGAAAAAATAATGTAATAATTTATTAATTTCATATTATTTCTTGTTAAACTAATATACATGATTTATTTAAATTATTCTTGTATTTGTAAAATTATGAGTTTGAAGAAAATTATACTTTGGGCTAGACACTAATTTTTAATTTGGTATTTAAAAATAAAATAAAAATAATAATCAAAATTGCCATTTTTAGTTTTATTATGTGTTTTCATACCCTATTTGGACATGTGACCAAACCGCTAAATCTAATGACCAATGACCGTATATAATCTAGTTCAGATTTAATGAAACCTATTAATTAAAATAGAAAAATTGGTAAAACAATTAATAACCGCTATTAACTCGTGATCCGCCATTGATGGAGCTGGTAAAAATCAAGAAAAAATCTTATAATATATTTTTCAAAAATGAAGAAACTTCCTATATACTCTTTAAATTATATTAAATTCATAAGTATTTGATTTGTGATTCATTAAATTTTTATTAAATATAAGTATGCCATTCTAAGAAAATGGTAATAGAGGAACCTATAATTTTTTGATATGGCAACATTATTTATTTGTGTTATTGATAATCTATTAAATTGATAATCTATTAAATTTTTTATATCGTATTTATTTATAATTTATAATTTATTTTTAACAATTTTTCATTATTTAGTATCTTAACATTTCGCAAAAGTTTTAATTTAATATTAGCTATTAGTCAAATAATTTGTTTTACGAAAATAAAGCCTATATGAATAAAACAAAACCAAACATCTTGATCTTGAGAAGTTAGTAGTCCTTTTTCTTCTTGCCGGTATGACCGAAACTTTAAATTTAAGCCCACCTTCGCATCTCAACTATAACCATAAAAAATCAATCCACTTGGCACAGATTGAATAATACCATAATTTTTAGTATTTGTGGTATCTTTCGTATTTTATGAATAATTGATTTTCCGATTTTGTTTTTTCGGAGAAATACAGATATCCGACTTTTTGGATATTTACAAATATTTACAGATATCTCATGCATTTTATTTAATATAAATAAACCTAAAAATACAAATATGTGGTTTCCAAAACCATCTTTAAAATAATAAAAAATAAAAAATAGGGAAATTATATAATCCACAACTTTAAAAATTAATCATTTTTTGATAAAACATAAAACTTTATAAAAATTGTAATTTTATAAAGATTTGATATTACTTTCTTAATTTATCACCTTTATAAGTAATTTTATAAATAAAATTAATAAAATGATAAGTTAAAAAAACAATTCTATAAAATTATACATTTAAAACTATATATATATATATATATATATATATGCATTTGTTTTTATAAAGTCGGAGCGGATCGCATTAAAGTTATAGATTCTAATCTCGTAAAAAGCACTATTAAAATTTATAACTATGAAAACAAAAGTTCTAATGTATCAAAAGAAAAACAATAACAAAAAAACAAAAGCCAACTTAAGAAAAAAAAAACACATAAAAGTTCAATAAAAATGCTTCCTTATTCCATACTACTTTGAATCCACCCTAACCTTTCTTCCACTGACATTTTAACACAACGTCTTGAATTCCAAGATGATACTCTGCGTAAGTGCTTTGTAACGAATACGGTTCTTCAAGTTTGAAATTTCCTTTATAG